ATGTATGGCACTGTGTATAAATTCAGTGAATTACATCATATCTTCTTCGTCCATAGAATTATGGTTGAAATTAGCTGAAAATCTTGACGCCACTTCGATTTTACATAAATATCTTCCGGATTGTATATAGCTCTAACGGGTTTTGTATTAGATATTCTATGTGTTTCACTTATGAAATTTGCATCATTATTTCAAATCATAGAGTTGGTCATGTGACACTGAATAAAATATAATCATTAATAATGACAACAATGAACAGAATTTCAAAGTAAATGTTCGACCAAAGCCATTGAGAAAGTTGAAATATTTGTTTCCTTTGAACATCCTGTATCTCCTAAACCAGCAACATTTTTATAAATTATACTGGTGAGCATGCTGGGCTGATTGTTCGTATTTTGGTGTTTACTATCTGTAGTTCGAAGATTTCCCATTTTTAATGAATCACTCTGTATGCCATTAGAAACGAAATTAGAACAATATCAGACAATTCGACTATTTGAATTATCATCCATGTTAATGATATGCCTCGTGATATGCAATAGAGTGGTTCAATTAAAAAAAAAATAATTAAAACTAAAGAAATAAGTCAGTGATGGCCTACACTTTATTTCTCAATACTATTGGCTGAGATTGGCTGTGTAGTGGTGCCTACTGAGACGCCACTGACTGTTTTTTTTTCAATCTTCAACGCCCTGTATTTCAGAAACAAATTTACTCCAGACATACCAAACATGTTCATATGAACTTTTTGTTTTCAAAACGACTTAACTAATCACCCTCTGAATTTCCGAACGTATGTATAGAAAACACCCTGTATACAACATTCAAAATGAAAACCCTGTTTCTGAAAAAGCATATAACGTCTGTCCAATAATAGAACTGAACTCTGAATTGAATAATCATGAGCAGGTGCAAAGATATATGATATACCGAGTGATACTGAAAACTGAAACCCGAGACAAAACCAATGCTAATTAAATATAAGCACGTTGAAAATTGTGTGTTTACTTTGTTGTAACTGCGAAATGTAAAACCGAAAGTTTACATGGTAGTACGAACAAATATTTAGATACAGGGTGATCCATTCAGAAAAATCTGCTGACTTCGTTATATTTGCGACAATATGATAGCTATCAAAAATCAACATATGTTTTTGGTTCAGTCAGGAATTAGGTGTTTCCCCCGCTCAACCCTGTATACTCATTACTATACTTGATCTACTTGTATCTGAATAAGGAATGGAATTCTCATATGTAATAGCACAAGTTATAGTATTCTGCCCGAATTCTGCCGGAAATATTCGCCGATTCTTACGTCAGCTTCTTGCCTTATAATTTCGCCGAATGACATCATTTATCGAAACTTTCGAGCCGTAGGCAAGCAGTTTTGGAACAATGTCATGAGCGAAATCAAAGCAGCAAGCTGGAGTATGTAATCGACAAAAATGTTCACGAAAAATAGTAACACGAGTTGTATTGAGTATTTCACGAGGTATTTCATGATTGAGACAATAAACTAGCGGCTCGCGAGAGTTGCGAACACTGCATCCATCATTCCGGCTTCCAACATGATTGACGTTATAAACGTCAAAAATTTCATCACTAAAACACGAGGATGGTTGGTCACGTGTGGGTCAATTCGGTTTCTGTATTGGTGGAGCAAGTCCGATAAATTTCAGTAAACAGAAAATATCGCTGTAATACAGGAGGAATCTTGAAAATGGTAAATTCGGATTGGTTCTCGAGAACAAGAGTGGAAGAGTCAACAGTAATATACAGGGTGATTCGTTAGGTCATTTTAGGAAGAAAAATTCCTATTAGCATATGTCCGGAGTTGCTTCGTTTCTGAGATACAGGGCGTTGAAATTAAAGAAAAAAACGGTTATTATAAAATATCATGAATATCATGAATATCCTGGAACCGATTTGGTTGAAATTTGGTACTTTTATTTGAACTGATAAGGCGCTTATTTAGCCCTATTTGGATTGAAATTATTGGGGCCAGTGGGGTCTCAGTAGGCACCACAGCCAACAATATTGTAAGAAAAAAGTATGCCACTGACTTTTTTGGTGAATTTTTATTTTTTTTATAGATGAAGCAACTCACAATACAACTTTTTGGTCTCCTGTATTTTCTTCAAGTCCAGCTTCGTTTTCAAAAAAAAATTAAAGCCACTGTATTGAATATCATGAACACCTGCATTGGAGAAATGAGTTCTTCATTATTTCCGCCAAAAATATAATTGACACTTGATATGCTGAAATGTAGGAACTTTTCTTCTTGAAATGTCCTAACAAATCACCCCCTGCAGTTTGGAACCATAGTTAGGAAACACCCTGTATATAATATTATGATGTATAGATATAAGATACTTAAAGTTTCAAACCTTTGAATTCAATAATTGGTATAACACAGCGCGAATTGATTTATTTTGTGATCAATTCCGCCTCATCTAACAAAGCACTCATCGTGAATTTCATCGAATTGAATAAATGATTAGCTATCAATCCGATAAATTTTATCCTGGACTTTATCTTATTGCATTTTTTTAGATTATCCATATATACTTATTTTATTAGCTCATCATGATGATAATCACAAAGAGGATAAAATATTTGTTATTTCAATAGTTCATCTAATAAAAATATGAAACAATAAAAATTCGATTTTACTCCAAATTTTTAGTGATTCACACAAGACCAACGAGACAAGTCTTTCATAAAGTCTCGTCTCGTCTGGCCGATGAAATATGAAGTCTTGTCTCGAGTCTCGTCTCGCAGCTTCGAGTCTCGTCTTGTCTCGCGTCTCGTACGAGAGTCCCGCAGATATATCGCAATTTCGTCATGCATAATCTTGTTTCAGTCTAGTACGGGATATTTACCTTCACCTACTTTTTAGGTATAATGTAGAAGTAGGAAGAGAAAATTACAACAAAAATAACATTATTTATTAAAATTGAGTACCTAATAGGTACATACCTACATCATTCATCTAAACAAGGAAAAAAACACCGCATTATATATTCGAAAGTAATGAAAATAAAATGAATAGTAGGTATCACGTATATTTTAAACAAATGAACAAAACAACAACTTTAATCCAACATTCCGCCGTAAGAGAGAGAATAGTCCGTTTTCGTTTCACACATTACGTCGTTTTACAACAATCATGGATTGTGTTTTTAAAGTATTTATGGATGAAATGCTTTGTCTATCTGTGCTAAATAGTCTGAATTCTTTCTAAATAAGTTGTATTATGAATGAAATTCTCAAGTCTGCAGTCGGCACGCAGAAATATTTACCTGCGAGACTCTCGCACGAGACACGAGAAGTCTTGCACGAGACCCGAGACGAGTCCAATGAAAGTCTCGTCTCGTCTAGTCCGAGTCTCGTCTAGTCCGAGTCTCGTCTCGAGTCTTGTCTCGAAAACGAGACGAGACCATGCGAGACTCTCGAAAACGAGACTCTCGAGGGCTCCATTACAAATTTTACTGTAGGTGTTTTCAAGACTTCCATTGAGATTACTCAATAACCCCAATAACAATCATTTGGAAATTTTAGGGCTTTTTGGCACCATGAGGGCTTATACGGGGAGGTTATAAATAAGAACAATTGATACTTCCAACTTCAACATCCTCTGTATCTCAAAAACGGAGCAAGTTAGGATACATGTTTATATGAACTTGCTAGAATATCACCAGGAATCACCGCTTGAATTATTTCGGTGTTATTTAGATACACCCTGTATATCGTGAGGTGTTTGTTTATCGATTTAAAATGCATTAGGCAAATCAGACTGAGTATATACCTATACCTCATTCTCGCTAATTTCTTATCTGCATGCCATTAAGGCACATTAAGGTTATTAAACTCAATTGCTCTTCGCTTTTACCTGTCTAATATCCAAAGTAACAGAATTACGGGGGACAGCGAATAGTTTCCGTAATCTTACTCAGTTATAACTATGACTTATATTCAGGGTGTCAGTTTTTATGGCACAATCTCCACAGCTCATAGAACACTTATTTCAAGATTTTTCGGAAAATCTCATATGAACATTATATGTGAGGGAGCTTTGTTTTAGATATACAGGGTCTCAAAATTTGAGATTATTTCTCCTATACATCTATAAAGTTTTTCATGTTTTCTCCTTTATACATCTATTACATTAAAAAAATGCAATATTCATAGTTATCAAGTGTTTTCGATAATCTACAATTCAACCCTCTCCAACTTTTTTGTGTGCTACCTCAGCATCCGATGGGAACGAGGTTGAGACATTAATCTCTTTTATTCACATATTTTTTGCCGAGATTTTTGCTCTCTTATATACATTGATTCCAAATTCGATGAAAATATTTTAAGTGCGTATTGTTGGGATCAAAATAAGACACTTTCTTCATATAAACATGTGTCCTAAAATGTACTCCCTCCGAGCTGTTAAATTTTGTGGATGTTTCTCGTTAATATAGAAAGAATTAATAAAAATGTGATATTTTCGTAAGACCGATGTGCTGAATATGTGTACTCATTTCTAAAGCACCTCGTATTGAGAAGTCAAAATACATGATCAACACCTAAAAATACCATTCAAATATTTCCTTACACATTCTCGAAATCCCGGAGTGAGTAAAACTTCAAAACGGAACCTTCTGTATTCAAAGAGACAATAAAACAATGAACAAAAATCTCTTCACTGGTACCACAAAAACAATCGAATCCGCATTCTAATATTGTTGTTTATAATTCTCTGCAGATGACCTTATAACGTAGTTTAGTGCACCGACGAAACGACAACGAAAAAACCTAACACGAATACAAAAATACATCGACACGAAACGTATACATTCCGAGAAAAAAAAGGCTCAAGGAAACTGTGATTATCTGGCGAAAATTGCAGTTGACTTTTCCGAAAATCATTCCCCGCGAAAAACTCTGTGCTGTGCGCGTCAAATGTGTTAACACGTATACCGAACAAAAAAAGAAAGAAGAGGAAGAAAAATGTCGACGCAGAATTACTACAAGGAAAAATTGGGTTTCGACCCTAGAGAAGCTTACTATGTCGACGGGCCTCCGGAAAAATACAGGAGAACCGAGAGGAAAACCGATGAAAAGCCGCACGGCTACGAAGAGAACCTGACCAAGTTCAAAGGTACTATTTGGGATTTGTTTATTGAGGCTTCTGAAGGTACGGTGGTGGTTTTCGGGTTTTCGGTTTTCCAGGCATGACTTGAGTGGCTTTAGCTTTCTAACCAGGTACGATTTTCACGAATTTTCTTCTGCACGAAAAAAAAAGGATTGTTGAATCAAGCAAAATTTGATTGAATGGAGCAAATAAAAGTGTCATATATGCACGACAAAATATAATCTTGAAATGAGTAAATCTATGTCTTGTTTCAGAGCGAATTTGAAGATTGAATCAAGTAAATATGTCTTGCATGAACTCTGAATCTTCTTCAATCAAGCATATCCATGAATTGTTTATGAAGAGATATTGAATTGACTCGAACAAACATTTTGTTTGATTCAAAATAACAAGATATTGATTCAATCAAACATTTAGTTGATTCAACGAAATATTTGGTTGATTCATAGAAATATTTGCTTGATTCAATGAAATATTTGGTTACTTCAATGAAATATTTTGTTGATTCAAGAAAAACTATGCATCCATTCGACAAATTGTTTTGTTGAATCAAATTCAATATTCGGGAATTTTCTGAAATTCCACATCAATAGAATAAACAAAACTAGGAAACTAGTCGACTCCTAGCATAGATCTTCAGTCTTCACTTCTCTTTAGCTGATGGAAAACTATTTCGGATTGCTAATCATCCTAAGTTCGACTCGAGGTTCGACTTATCCAGCGGATATAACAAACACGAAGAATCATCAGGCTTCACGTATATAATGAACTCGAGGCAGGCATAGACGAGGCGAAATGATCGCCATCTAGAGGCGAAAATTCAAGTTGATGTAGAATGAACAAAATATTTCATTGATATTACATATTTCGTTGCTCTATTCAAGCAAATGATCCGTTCGAAACGAGTTCATTGATACATCGGAATAAGACAACTTGTATGTTGTTTCAAAGATATATATATTCTCATCAAAATGATCATTGTTTGATCAAATCAATGAAATGTTCATAGTTGAATCAACATCCACATTATTTTGGATCGACATAATTTGTTTTTGGAGAAACCATATATTTTGTTGATGGAATTGATATTATTCTGTTGATTCAATTAGACTACATTCTTGATTTGAACAAGCTGCTTCCATGGAATAATCATGTATCTGGTTGATTCAACAAAAAATTGCTCAGTCCAACAAAAATAACTCAAGCATAAATAATTTGTTGATGCAACAAATCCTTTTTTTCCGTGTGAAATGTAGAGGCGAAGACGTTGTTTTTTGAAGACAAGCGGCGTCCCATTTTTTTAAACCAAGGTCTACTAGATGGAAAAATCCGAAATCTTCATTATCGATTTCTGTAGAGAATTTCCGTGTACGCCACTAGAATTGGTGTGTTAACTGAAATAGATCTGTACCAAGTTTCATGAAAAAAATATTCAACATTATTTACGAATCTACAGCCGAGTCTTCAGCGTGTCTCATTTCTGAATTGGGACCGGTATGAATGATCATCAATGGGATCAGTTCTTCAAAAACATACATACATTTGGACAGTGCCGTGCGTTTTGATTAAAACTGAAAAGGGGTAAATTTTGTATGAAATCATATTAGGCATTTTTTACAGGAAAAATGTCCTCATAATATAGTTCTTCATGGTTTCAAACCCTCATATGTAAAAAAAATATTTTCAGTGTTTTCTAACTCCATTAGTTTAGATTTGAACACCTGCTGGCAGTTTGCCCCATCAATTTTTGATATTTTCCTTCAGTAGCGCTTTCATAAAGGCACGGGGAACCCCTCTTTTAAAAACCCGTTAATTTATGGTGTTGTCAAAAATAACAACACCCTTCGGCAATCAATTACCCTTTATATACCCTTTAATTATTGAGAACCCGTTTTTTCATTAATAAACTCGATTTTTCGACTATGGGCATTGACAAAAATTTGACAACTAGTATCATCACATTTTTTCAACTCCAAAACTTTCAATTAGGCTAAAGTGTTCTTTTATAAGACCGAAATATGTCCCTTCTGATTGTGTAACAACACCATTAAAATGTGTGGAGATGACTTCGAGCATTCCTTCCTTTCTTTGAAAAATTCAACTCCACTTTGAGCAATATGGACTTCTACCAAAGACTCCTCATATGTAAATTTTCATATTCTTATGAAGGGTTCTAACAAAAACGTACTTCCTCTGGGTCCATCTGAACAGCATTTTCTCGAACGTAATAATTACTTATACAGGGTGATTCACATAAGAACCGACATAGAGCAGGGGCATCTAGGGGGTCCCAAAATATGCCAATTTAACGCAAATTAACCTCTATACCAAGTTGCTTCCTTAAGGAGTTATAGGCTTTGAAAGTGAAGTTATAAATTTTGAAAAAAATCAATATATCCGTACACTTTGTGAATGTATTTAGGGCGTTACTTGACAGTAACAAGAGTTCAATTGAAATTTGTAAAGGGGGTATACATACCGGGTGGCGCACCATTAATATTCAACAGAATTTTGTTAACCCTTGATGGATTTCAAAAATATTTGCTTTGTTTTGTGGGCAATTCAATTCTTAAACTTTTCTCAGTCTACTAATTTCTCGAAAAACCTCATCATTTTCATCAAAAACTCGAATAACTGAAAACGCGTGCTCTAGGTGTGTTATTCAAAATCATCGAAAATTCAAAAGTTGGCTATGAAGCAAGTAAGTTGTTCAATTGAGTATTTTATCGATAAACAATTGTTTGTTCTGGTTGTTCTTGAAGTTTTTTGTGTTTATTTTGGTTAGTTGTTAATCCCAGTTTTTCACATTTCAGTATCTGTACTTACTTTACGTATTTTGTTACGTATCTAAATAATAATTTGCCAGCCAATTTCTACTGATCACAAATAATGACCTACTTTCTTGTTGTACGTTTAGTTTCATAGCCAACTTTTGAATTTTCGATGATTTTAAATAACACACCTATAGCGCGCGTTTTCAGTTATTCGAGTTTTTTATGAAAATGATGAGGTTTTTCGAAAAATTACTAGAGTAAGAAAAGTTTTAGAATTGAATTGCCCACACAACAAAGCAAAGGTTCTTGAAATCCATCGAGGGTTAACAAAATTCTGTTGAATATTAATGGTGCGCCACCCGGTATACCCCCTTTACAAATTTCAATTAAGCTCTAGTTACTGTCAAGTAACGCCCTAAATACATTCACAAAGTGTACCAAATTTGGTTGCTTCAAGTTCAAGAATAACGGAGATATTGATTATTTTCAAAATCTATAACTTCACTTTCAAAGCCTTTAACTCCTTAGGGAAGCAACTTGTTATAGAGGTAAGTTGCGTTAAATTGCCATATTTTGGGACCTTCTACATGCCCTTTGCTCTATGTCGGTTCTTATGTGAATCACCCTGTATATACCGAGATATATACTCAAAAACGATGATTCCAACATAAAATAGTTTTACCCGTTTTTTCTTTCAAATCACGATTTTCTACCTACCGGAGCTATTGAAAGTTCCAAAATTTGCATTTAATTTGAATTCACTATTTTTTAGAGGCTGAAAATAAGTTAGTTCTTTAGTTCTCTTGCAAAATATTCCTAATATGATTTCGTGAAAATCGACCCCTTTTTATTTCACGCCATAAATGCAATTCATCACACCGAATAAACTATCTATCTATCTATCTATATTTCTCTATATTTAGAGTCTTCACTTGAATTCGAGCTAGGTACTTGATGTTTGTATTTTTTGTATTTTTGTTAGTATTTTTTTGGTATTTTTTTATCTACTTTTCTGTAATTCAACTTGTCCCAGATAACGTGTTTTTACTTTTACTTTTATGTGTATACCTAAATGCTAAAGCTAGTTTCATCTTATGAGCAAAATGTTATTCAACTGTGCCATAAATGAATTTGTAAAACTTTGACCTGTTTCATAGACCAATCAATTTTTTTTTGTTTTTCGTATAAAATGGGAAATTGTAATCTTATCAATAAATTTCTATTCTATTCTATTCTATTCTATTCTATTCTATTCTATTCTATTCTATTCTATTCTATAACATACGGCATTGTCCACCAGGATGTGCCTCTCTGAAAAACTGATCATATTGATGGGGCCGAGGATGGGGCTTTCCGAGGGGCTTTCATACCGGTCCCAATTTTTTACTTTCTGAATTAGAATTGAAAAAGGTGTAGTCTAGCGATTAAAGATATAATATGGCACAAAAATTAAAACGGTTTTGGCCCTCGGAACTTACTGGAGGAATCAGTATGGCCCTAAGGCTGGAAAGTTTTGGAGACCCATGGCCTAGACCATCACAAAATGTTTTGTTCTTTTATCTCAAACAGCAAAGCCGTTATCTCACTTGCCCATTTCGATGACTCACCCTGTATGGGTATCATTTCATTATGAGGACGGTCAAAATTTGCAGCTGGCTGTTTTATCAGGTATGACGGCATCTCTTATGCTGATGTGCTGTGTTGTGTGGTTTGGTTTGTTATCATTTGTATTTTGTTGCTTTATCACATGAAATTACTATCACTGGGTTGTGATTGTGATGAATTTCATGCAATAACTCATTAACACTAATGACTCATTAATAACACTATACCATGTAAAATTTCCCACGTCCTCTAGGCTACTATATAGACTCTACCTACAGGTCTCGGGTATATACATTTACCCAAACTATTGAACATCTATTTATAGATTTAATGGGTAATATCCGAAGTATTAACAATCTTATATATTATTACCTCGATTATTACATAAGTATTCAGATATCAAAGGCCTTCGAGCTATATGGTACGTGTACCTGACTATACAGTATGTCCATTCAGTGCTCACTTGAGATAACAGTATTCTCAGAAAATCTATTCAACTCAAGATTTTATTGTACAGGGGGGTACTACGATGGAGGGGGTACTACGAAGGAGATTAACTTAGATTTGACGTTATTCAAGTGGTAGACACGAATCTTATATATACACAGACGAATACACAGGTTAACGACGAATAAATAAATAGTAATATTTCAGTGAATACTATGTTATCAATTTGATGCTAAAATGAAAAGATGACAAAATCA